GAGTTTCTATTTTGGTGCTTAATTAGTTTTTAAAAATTTGTTGGTTTTTTGGTTTTTTTAGTTGCATTCTTAATTAATTGATCTATTCTTTATTTTGTTGATGAAAGTGTTTAGTGATATAAATTTTCCTCTGAATATTTCTTTGGCTGTACCCAAAAATTTGGGGTGTGTTGCCTGATTGTCATACTATTTAATGAGATTATCTGGTGTTTCTGTGACTTGCTCTGTGATGCACAAATTTCTTAGGATTAAATCATTTGGTCTTCAATTAATTTGTAATACTTTTTAATGCAATAATTTTTACTTTACTGATTATAATTTTTTATTTTGTTATGGTCAGTAAAAGATGTGTTTAATATTTCTGGTTTTCTATATGTATTTATTAATGAGGTTTTATGCCCTAATACATGATCAGTTTTTGTAAATGTGTAATACACTGCTAAGAAATATAGATATGTGGGAATATACATATTTATATGTATACACACACATTCTTTCCCATTCACATTGAGTAATTGCCAGAGATAAATTATAACACTTTTTTCTAAAATTCTGTTTAGATAATTAAACTCCTTTTTGTTGATCTTTCTGTTAGATTTGACAGTGCTCAAAAAAGGCACACTGAGGTCCCCAGCTGTTACAGTTTTGCTGCCTCTTTCTCCTGTAACTCACTTAACTTTTCCTTTAAGTATTTAAATGCTATACCATCCAATGCACGTTATTGTAAGTATTCATTATCTATACTGCCTTTAAGCATACTGTGGTATGCTTAATCCTGTGGTATTCCCTATTTATTTTTTCAAGTATGTCTATTTTTGCATTTTCCTTGTCTGAAATCCTAATTGCTACCCCTGATTTTTTGAGTTAGGTTGAAGAATTTTTTTTTGCTCTAGCCCCATATTTTAATTCTGTATAGATCTTTATGTTTTAAACATATTTCTTAAAAGCAATACACTGTTGGATTCTCTTTCCAATATATTCTATTATCCTCTTCCATTTTATTGGTAAATTCATCCTATGTAGTTCATAGTTGTGATTGTTAATTGTGAATTGCTGTCCTCTTGTATTTTTTTCATCTCTTTGTTCCCTGGATGCCCCTTTACAAAGAAAAAGATGGTCACGAAATAGGAATGAATAATTCACTAGTGGGGCAACTAGGTGGTGCAGTGGATAGATTTGCTGGACTGGAGTCAGGAAGACTCATCTTCCTGAGTTAAAATCTGTCCTCAAACACTCACCAGCTATGTGACCCTTTCCAAGTCCCTTAACCCTGTTTGCCTTAGTTTTCTCATCTACAAAATGAGCTGGAGAAAGAAATGACAAATCACTCCAGTATCTTTACAAAGAATACGTAAGTGGGGATCATGAAGAGTTAAACATGCCTGAAAATGACTGAACAACAATCCACTAGTGGTCAGTTCTTCATGGACTCCTGTTCCCCTGCCCTTTTTTTCTTCCCTTCGTGCAGACATCAACCACAGGCTCTTACATTTTTGTTTTCCCTTTAAGCCTTTCTTCATGATCTATTCTCTAAGGTTGTAATTTGTTTTGCTTATGAACAATTTACCCTTTATTTTATTCCCCTCTCTTCCTTTCCTACTTTGCTTCTGTTCCCTTGTTTAGTCGACTGTATCAATATGCCAGATGTGTGTAGATGTCCTTTCTTCCCTCATTTGACTGGTTCACATAAAAGGGGGGATCAAGTGATGCTTGCCTCCCTACTCTTCCTTCTTTGTTTGGATAGTTTTCTGCTTGTGCAGCCATATCTACTTGAAAGATAGTAAGTTCCAAACCCTTTTCCTTCTTTTCTTTGCTAGTATATTTTCCTCCCTTTCTTTTCATTCATAGTTTAAGATCACCAAATAACAAAACCACTACCAGGCCTTTTGTCTTATTACCTCATTCTATGAAAGTAAGTGACATTAGAGTTCTGAGGTGAGGCTTGTGTATTTGTCACCAGTTAGAATGTAAACACTCATCCTTCTATAGTCCCTCTCAGTCTCTAAAAAATATTTACATTTCAACTTAGTTTTTCTAATCGTCTCTTATCTTTTCATCAGGAATGCTCCGAAGTCCCCCTTTACAGTAAAGATTCATTTCCCTGCTGTCTTCCCAGAGGATTGTATTCAGTTTTTCTGGGTAAATTATTCTCCTTTGCAAGCCTGTATCTTTTGCTTTGGGAAATATAGTCCTCAAATATCTCCTCTTTTTCACAGCAATAACTGCCTAGTCATGTGTGATCCTGAGTATGGCTCTTCATTATTTGAATTCATCTGTAAAATGGGGATGTTGGTCTAGATGGCCTCTGAGATCTATTACAGTTTATGATCATTTCCTCATTCTTGGTTTGGGTAATAATTATTATTACATTGCTTACTATTAGCCATACCTCTTGATAAAGCTCATTTATCAAACATAGCCCAAAGCAGAGAGAATTATGTTTTCAGTAAGCTTCTAAGGGACTTCTAGGGACATGTGCCTTGAAACAATAACACTTTGATAGTCATAATAATCTAATTGTATAAATCTCTTCTGTAACAAGTCTTGGAGAAGCTACAGTGTCCCTACTAAGTAGTTTGAAAGAAGATGATGGTAATGTGTTCTTCCCACTTATTTGATTTTTGCTACCCCTGCATTTTACCCTACCATATCTTAAGTAGTTCTCTCCACATACTAAAATTTGGCGGCATTCAAAAAATCTTTGCCCCTGGGTTACTATTCTGAAGTATTGTAGAATAGCAGTATAAAATTCAAATAGAAATAGGCCACTAAACTGTACATAAAGATTTCTCTGGGCCAAATATTGACTTAAAAATCCCATATATTTATATGTATATTTTTTAAAATATATGAACAAATTAAAATAAGAAAGTACATTTTACTTTGATATAGGCTGCATTCATCAGTATTGTGGACATATATACATATGTAAAGCTGCTAAAGGATGTGTACATGCAAATGTGGCAAAGATATAAATATGCATAGACACTCTACTGAAAGCATCTCTCAGCTAGAAATTCCTAATCATCAGTAAAATCATATAGCTGCCTAGTGTAGATCTGCTCTACTACTCAGAGCCTCTCTGCTCTCTTATGATTTTATCAGTGGAAATGATATTAAAGAAAAATGATTATTATGTGCTTTGGTTGAACCCTAAGGATCATGGGACCTTTCTGACTTGCAGCTGAAACTTTTCAAATATCTCCCCCTTATTAGAATATGAGCTCCTTGAGAACTGAAACTGTCTTGCTTTTCTACTTGTAACCCCATTACTTAGCATAGTGCTTTGTCCACAGTAAGTACTTAATAAATTCATTAATCCACTGCAGTCAAATGCAGCAATTCTACTAAAATGAAACCCTGCATCCCACTCTGAGAAAAACCTCAAAAAAGTTCAGAGGGCAAATAAAGGACGATATCAATTTGTGCAAAATGTTTAAATTCTGCAACAGAGGTGACAAACATACGGAGCGGGTGTATGTATATATGTGCATATATACACATATAAAAATACATACATATGCATATATATTATATATAACAAAATGAAGCAAGCTTGGCCTCTGACACATACTGACTGAGTGATGTTGGTCAAATCACTTAATCTCTCAGCGCTCTAGGCAATTCCCTAAAATGATAGATTGTAGTAGAGGAAGATTCCTCTTTCCTTCCTCTTCAGAGCAGTTCTCTATAACAGTGACATTACAGATTGAGTCCTTATTCCTTTTCTTGTGGCTGCAGCACCAGATTCAATAGCCAGAGACAGTATGGATACTGTCACAATATTTTTAAGAAGCAGTACAACTGAGGCAATGACAGTTACCTGCCATTATGTTGAGACTGGGCTATCAAGTCTGAAGAGACACTGAGTAAGGTACAGAGAGAAAGAGGATGAAGATAAATTATTTTCTGAAATAGCTGCTTTTAACTTTTTCCTGTGAGGAAATGTTTATAAAGAGAATTATTATTATTTTTGGTAAAGCAATTGGGGTTCAGTGACTTGCCCAGAATCACACAGCTCGTAAGTGTTATGTGTCTGAGGCCACATTTGAACTCAGGTCCTCCTGACTCCAGGGCTGGTGCTCTATCTGCTGCGCCACCTAGCTATCCCAATGAAGAGAATTATTGAAAGACTTTGGCTGCCATTAAATGACATAACATTTATGTGCATAACACTGCCTGACACATACTAGGTGCTTAATAAATGCTTATTCCTTCTCCTCATTTCTGATCCTGAGAAAACTTAATGTCAGAACTGTATTCCAGAATTGAGGAAGTCAGTAGTTTTATATAGTGGTTAGAGGTGACTCTAATCCTGATTGCTAATTTTTTTTTATCAGCTAAAACATTGTAAATAATTACAAATGTAATCTTTTGTGTTTGTTACACTAGCAAGAAAAAATATAGCCAGTGACCTTGATGTTTATTTAAGCCTGTATTAGAAGGCTTCACATATGCACACATAGAGAGAAAGGGGTGGGGGAACAAATGCTTATAGGTTTATTAAATAAGAAATATTATATAAATTCATATAGCTTCTTTGCAAACAAAAATGTCAAACTCTCAGAATTGCTATATGGGACATGGAGGTGATCATGATCACCTTCGGATGGAGATGTAAGAACAGAGAGAAGAGGCTGGACTAGATTAGTGTGGTACAGTGAAAAGAATGTTACATTTGTAGTCAGAGGACCTGATTTTTTTTTTTACTTACCTCTACAAATTCATATCTGTGTGATATTTGGTTAAGTATTTAACTTCTTTGGACCTCAGTTTCTTCATCTGTAAAATGAACTGGACTAGATGACACCTATTATCTAGTACTGCTCCAAATCTATGTAAGATGCTTTCAGCACTAAATCCTATGATTCTAAAATAGATTACTAAACACATCTTTGAGAGTGTCAGGATGAACATTCAAGCCTACTGACTTTGAAGCTCAGTACACTGTGTTTATTCTCCTTGCTGAGCTAATATGTGACCTTTAATCTCATGTGTAGGTTCGAACAAAGGACCAAGTTTTTGACAGCATAAGTCACCTCATCAACCATCATCTTGAGAATAATTTGCCCATAATATCAGCTGGGAGTGAACTCTGCCTTCAGCAGCCTGTGCAAAGGAAACAGTGAACCTTCAGCAACTTAAAATCTCTGTCTTCTTTGAGCTCTGTTCACCGGTCATTGCATATACGAGACCATTTAAATCCAAAGTGCATTCATGGTTGCTTTGTTTCTCATCTTGAGAAGACCAGGCAAGTCAGAAATGGGTAATGCATGGGGCTTAATAAAACTGAAAACTTTCTTAAAATATGATTTCAATAACATTGTTCCAATCCCTTCATGTGAATTTTTGAGGTGTACATCTCATACATTTTGTGCAAATACAACCTCTGCATATATTTATAAAGGCTGTGAAAAATGAGACTAATATTGTTTGATGTGTATTTTTTAACTAAAAAAACACTCATTGTGATTGTTTAGGTGAAAATGTAATTGGACTGTTTTGTTACATTGGGAAACTCAGTAAGGAGAATGTTACTTTTAATTTAATGAATAAGAATAATTTTTTAAAAAGGACGTCACTTAAGTTGGCTGATAAAGAAGGAATTTAAATAGGTCAGGTCATACTGCTATCTGGAAATTTTTGTCTGGATCTGTGTTTGAAGTATTATAAAAAGCTTTTTCTCCTTACAATGTAGAATTTTAATTCCCCCAAGATGCTTGTACCTTGCTCTGACAATGACATGGTATGATCTCTGTGTAAGCATTTGTTTTCTTCAACAATAGGTACCATATACTTCAATTTAATAAATGGAAATCACCTTTATGGTTATAAATGTAACTCACTGACTGAAATGAAAGTTCTGGTTACCAGTTTTTCTAACCATCATCTACCAGGTGGTTAGGATTCCAATAAAGGCCGAAGGCCCAAAGGGCCTAATATCATTTGCTTGCATATGGGACAAAGTGAGCCTGGTTGGTGTCAAGATCTTTACTTAGTTTTTCCTCTCTCTCCCCCCCTCTCTTCTTATGATAAACTGGTAGTTGTTGGCCACATGGACTGAAATCCTGCTAGTTTCTCTATCATTCTAAATGAGATAAAGCTTTAACACTGCCTTCATTATTGATTAGCACATTTTCCTATTTTTTTTTTCCTCCCTTATATTTAACATAGGGAAGAGGAGTAAGCAAAGTGATAGTATTTTGGGGCAGGCAAAGATATGTGTACTAGAGAACGTGTGAACTAACTATTAAATGCCAGTTCTTATTTTTTTAAATAATAGTGTTTTATTTTTTCCCAATTACATGTCTGGACAATTTTTAGCATTCATTTATACAAGATTTTTAATTCCAATTTTTTTCTCCTTCCCTCCCCTTCTTCCTAAAATGGAAGGCAATTTTGTGTAGATTATACATGTGATATAATGTAAAACATATTTTCATATTAGTTACAGTTGTGACAGAAGAAACAGATCAAAACGAAAAAAAAAACACAAAAAAGAATAAAGTAAGTGAAAAAAGTATGTCTTGATCTGCATTCAGAATCCATTAGTTCTTTATCTGGATGTAAATAGCATTTTCTGTCACGAGTCCTTTGTACTTGTTTTGGAATGTTGTGTTGCTGAGAAGAGCTGAGTCATTCATAGTTGATTATCATATAATGTTGCTCATACTGTGTGCAATGTTTTCCTGGTTCTGCTTATTTCACTTTGCATCAGTTCATACAAGTCTTTCCAGGTTTTTCTGAAAACTGCCTTTTCATCATTTCTTACTGCATAGTAGTGTTCCATTATATTCATATTAGCACAGCTTGTTCAGCCATTCCCCAATTGATGGGCATCCCCTCAATTTCCAATTCTTTGCCACCACAGAAAGAGCTGCTATAAACATTTTTGCACATATAGGTCCTTTTTTCCTTTTTTATGATCTCTTTGAGATACAGACCTAGTAGTGGTATTGCTGGATCAAAGGGTATGAACAGTTTGGTTGCCCTTTGGGCATAGTTCCAAATTGTTCTCCAGAATGGTTGGATCAGTTCCCAACTCCACCAACAGTACATTAGTTTCCCAATTTTCCCACATCCCCAACATTTATCATTTTCCTTTTTTTGGTCATATTAACCAATCTGATAGGTGTGAGGTGGTACCTCAGAGTTGTTTTAATTTGCATTTCTCTAATCAAAAGTAATTTAGAAAACTTTTTTTTTTTGGCAATTGGGGTTAAGTGACTTGCCCAGGGTCCCATGGCTAGTAAGTGTCAAGTGTTTGGTCTGAGGCTGGATTTGAACTCAGGTCCTCCTGACTTCAGGGCCAGTGCTCTATCCACTGTGCCACCTAGCTGCCCCTAGAGCACTTCTTCATATGCCTATAAATGGCTTTGATTTAATCTAAAACATGCCTCTTCATATCCGTTGACCATTTATCAATTGCGGAATGACTTGTGTTCTTATAAATTTGACTCCATTCTCTATATATTTGAGAAATGAGGTCTTTATCATAGACACTTGCTATAAAGATTGTTTCCCAGCTTTCTGCTTTCATTCTAATTTTGATTGCATTGGTTTTGTTTGTGCAAAAGCCTTTTAATTTACTATAATCCAAATTATCTGTTTTACATTTCACAATTCTCTCTCTTTCTTGTTTGGTCATCAATTTGTAACTCCCTTAACTTTTAAGAATTTAGATGCTATACCACTTGGTGCATGTATGTTTAATATTGATATTACTTCATTGTCTATGGTACCTTTTAGCAAGATGCAGTTTCCTTCCTTTTAATTAGATCTATTTTTGCTTTTACTTTGTCTGAGATCAGAATTGCCACCCCTGCTTTTTTTTTTTTTTTACTTCAGCTGAAGCGTAATAGATTCTTCTCCAGCCCCTTACCTTTACTCTTTGTGTCTCCCTCTGCTTCAGGTATGTTTCTTGTAAGCAACATATTGTGGGATTCTGGTATATGATCCACTCTGCTATCCACTTTTGTTTTATAGGAGAGTTCATTCCATTCTCATTCACAGCTATGATTACTATGCATTTCCCTCCATCCTATTTTTCCTCTCTCTCCTTTCACTCTACCTCCTCGACAGTATTTTGGCTGTGTCTGCTACCTTCCCCAGTTTGCCATCTCTTCTGTTAATCCCCTCCGCCCCTGCCCCTGCCCCTTTACTTAATCTCCTCCCCATCTACTTTACTGTCATGTAAAATAGATTTCTATATTCAACTGATTGTGTATATTATTCACTCTTTGAGGCAATACTGATGAGCATAAGGTGCAAGCAATGCCCATCGCCCCTTCCCATCTTTCCCTCTGCTTTAATAGATTTTTTGCACTTTTTCATGTGCAATAATTAACCCCATTCTACTTCCCCCTTCCTTTTGTACTCAGTGTACTCCTCTTTCTCATTCCTTAATTATTTTGTATGTCATTCTCCTAAATTCTCCTTATTCCTGTACCTGCTGTTTCTGTATATTCCTTCTAGCTGTACTATTAGTGGTACAATTTTTAAGAATTACAAGTATTTTCTCCCCATGTAGGGATGCAAACAGTTCAGCTTCATTGAATTCCTCACGTTTTCTTTTCCCTTTTCCCCTTTTTGGGCTTCTCTTGGGCCTTGATATTAGAGAGCAAGTTTTTTGTTCAATTCTGATCTTCTTATGAAAGCTTGAAATCCTTCCATTTCATTGAAGAACCATTTTTTCCCTTGATGTATTAGGCTTAATTTCTCTGTGTAGGTGATTCTTGGTTGTAATCCTAGCTCCTTTGCCTTCCAAAATATTATGTTACATGACTTCTGATCCTTTAATGTTGCAGCTGCTAAGTCCTGTGTAATCCTGATTGTGGCTCCCGAATATTTGAATTGTTTCTTTCTGGCCTCTTGTAGTGTTTTTTCCTTGACATAACAGTTGTGTAATTTGGCTATAATGTTCCTTGGAGTTTTTATTTGCGGATCTCTTTCTTGAGGTGATTGTTGGATTCTTTCAATGCCCCTGTTTTGCCCTCTGGTTCCAGGACGTCAGTGCAGTTTTCTTTTTGATTCAGGTCCTCCTTTTGATTAAGACTTTCAAGTACTCCAATATCATCTCTCCTGGAACTATTTCCCAGGTCAGTTGTTTTTCCTATTTTACATTTTCTTTCATTTTTTCCATTCTTTTGAATTTGTTTTATTGATTCTTGATCAATGACTCCCAGAGTCATTGACTTCCACTTGCTCAGTTCTAACTTTTAAGGAGCTGTTTTCCTTAGTTAGCTTTTTTTACCTCCTTTTCCATTTCACCAACTATACTTTTTAGGGAGTTGTTTTCTTCAGTAGATTTTTCTACCTCTTTTTACGTTTGGTCAGTTCTACCTTTTAAGCAGTTATTTTCTTTTTCCAAGCTGTTGACTCTTTTTTTTTTTAAATTAGTCTCCTGTATCATTCTCATTTCTTTTCCCAAATTTTCTTCTACTTCTCTTATATGATTTTTAAACTCCTTTTTGAGCTCTTCCATGAGTTCTCTCTGGGCTTGCGATCACTTCCCATTTTTCTTTGGGGTTTTGCCTGCAGGTATGTTGACATTTTTGTCCTCTCCTGAGTTGTGTCTTGATCTTCCCTGTCACCATAATAGCTTTCTGTGGTCAGATTTTTAGTTTTTTGTTGTTCTTTGCTCTATTTTAGCTTTTTCCCTTTCTTTTAAATTTAAGCTCTGCTCCCAGGTTGGAAGGGGCACTGTCTTAGGCTTCTTGTGCCTGGGCTTTGGCCTATAGCCCTGACTGTTTACTTGGCACTGCACTGATGTTTCCAGAGACCCACTGGGGACCCTTGTGTCTGGTGCTATGCTGAAGGGTGTTGTGGGGGGTGGCTGGCACTGCTGGAGATCTTAGGGGTCTGGCAGCTTACCTGGTGCTGAGCAGGGGTCCTACTCTTAGTGTCTGGTATGTACTGAGATGAGTGAGTGTTTCTGCATTTTCTCAGAGCTACACTGATGCATATGGAGCTCTGGCCCCTGAAGGCTGCCTGTTCTCTTGGCTATGCTGAGGCTTGTGGGGGTCCTGGTATTGGCATTTGTCTGTTCCATCACTCTGGGGCTCAGGACCTCTCGCTGGTTTGCTGAGGTGGGGCTTGCTGATATTTCTTTTCCTGGACTGTACTCCCTTTTTACCCTAGTAAGACAGATCTTTCTTGCTGATCTTCCAAGTTTCTTGGGGTAAAAAACTGTTTCACTCTGCCATTTTGCTGGTTCTGATGTTCCAGGATTTGCTTTGGGGCCTTATTTTATGGTTGTTTAGAGTTCAATATAGGACAGTTACAATGATTTATTGCTTACTCCATCATCTTGGCTTCCAGAAGTAGATTTTTTTGGGAGGCAATTGGGGTTAAGTGACTTGCCCAGGATCACACAGACAGTAAGTGTCTGAGGTTGGATTTGAACTCAAGTCCTCCTGACTCT